ATACTTTGCATACCTCTTGGTTGCATACCATCTGTAGTTGAAAACACCTGCCTAGCCCGTGATGGAGTGGTGGAAAAGTGTACATCTGGTTAACTGAAGATGCATATATGTAGTTGTGAAGGCTCAAGATGGTTGCAGGGTGGCTAAAGAAACTGAAAGCTTTATACCTGAAACAATACTTTACACTTTTTGGAGAGGAGGACTTGACTTAAAGCCTTTTTAGGCTTATTTTACAAACAGTTTAAGGCACCCTACTGCCTAGCTTCCCTGCAGTCAAGGTGCAGAGTAGGGTACATAAAAATGAAGTTATCAGGACAAAACCTGTTTGAAATGACAGCTATATTAGCAACGTACCTGCAATTAGATAAATCCTTACAAGTATTTCTTCATTTTTAAATGAAAGATTTGTGCTGTTAGATGGACTGTACTTCACACTGGTTAACTTCAGGTATTTAACTTAGGCACGTAGGCGTCCTTAGACGCTTGGAGAGAGCAGTTTGTGGCACTGAAGCTGCAGGTGCCCTGAATGGTCTGCAGAGATACCTCCCTCTCTTTAGCCTCTCCAGAGAACTTGGGCTCCTGCCTTCAGAGTACAGTTCAGACCACCTGAGTTAGAAGCCTAAAGTAGACATGAAATGCTCCCAAACAGATACCCATTACGACTCCAACAATACAACGTAAAAGTCCCGTAGAAAATCTGGATATCCAAACTTTACAATAGCACTTCTCACAGCAAGAACGTTTTACCCCCAGGATAGTTTGGAGGGAATGAACATTGCTTCTGGATATAATATATATATTTTTGCTTTTCTAAATGCATACTGCACCTAGCATGCTGATTATACATTTTCCTTCTTTCATGTGTAACTGTTGTCCAATATGGAGTAATACAACAAAAGTGCTATATATTGATGTTCAGTTCAAACCCGACTTTCACTATATATTGTCATAACTGTAGGCAGAATTGTAGCTTAGTTAATTTGATTAAATGTTTTAGTTATTAACAGATGTAGGAATTGTAATTTAATAGCATAACTTTTGAAATAATAACTTTGTTTGAAAGGCGTATTTCCAAGGAGAGACAGCACTAAGTTTTAAATTATATTTGAGAAATTTGTGACCGCCAGTTTCTCACAACGTATCTTTTTCTGACTAGACCTTACAGACGGATTTTCCCCTAGGTTTCTATTTTTTCATAGATGCTCCCTTGTCTAGTTGGGTCACTTGTGCAGAACGTGGCAAACTCTGGTTCAGTTCCCCGGAGCAGAACTGAACCGGTATTTCCTAGTCGCCGAGGCGCGCCACCACAGGCCAATGACACCTTCCTTCCACTGGCGCTGCCTTGCGTCCCACAGCTCCTGCTGGTCGACCTGCCTGATGGTTAAGGCTCTCAGGTGGAGGAGCCGACTTACGCCGTCTGTAGTACGCTGTACGTCCTGTGCCACGCAGCGGGCTATCGCTGAGCATTACCCGAGCGAAAGCAATTCCGGAGCTCAAACAGAAGTGGTGGAATGGGCGGTGGGAAGCTGTGACCGGTCGGGTGAAATGAGCAAAGCAGGCCTCTGTAGGACTAGAAACCAAGTGCCAACTAAGACCCATGTGAGAATTCCACAGGTAATTAGGCTCCTTGTCCCCATGGTTTTGTAATGGGATCTGGGAAGCTGAGCTGCTGTATTTTTTTAAAAAAATGTTCTTAAATTAAAAAAAAGACTTGCTCAGAGATGCATGTAAAATTTTAAATACGCTTTATTTCTGCTACTATAATGGCTGAAGCTTCAGCTTTTTTTCTTGAGGTCTGGACCCAAACTTACTGGCTGTACCTGTGCAGTGTAGGACTGGTAGCTGTGATTATCATTCACACGCAGTCTGTTTATTACACAGAAATTGAGTGCTGTAGATCTGACATTTAGTTTGCATTTGTTAGCATGAAACCTGGAATTCAACCAGTTTTCGAACTTCAGAGTTCATGTATTTCAATATTGTTTCCCTACTTCATAATCTTAAGTAGTGTTATATGCATGGTTTTGTGTTTCCTTATTAGCCGAGTGAGCTATTTATTCTGAAGAGACAAAGAGACTAGAAGTTCTTAAATGTTAAGCTTAATTCTTTTTTTTTCCAAAGGGGAGAAGCCCCAGAAGAACACAGAAAGGATTTAAATTTGCAAGGAATAGCTTGTTCTCACTGCGCATTATTCTGCATATTCCATATAAAAAAAAGGGCCTTATAAAGTGAACTAATCTTGGCCAAGTTTTGTTTTGGTTTGTTTTTAATGACTGCTTAAAAGCAGTGCCTTTCAAAATTGTTTTTTTCAGTTGTGAATTCTGCGAGGATCACTGAGGTGCGTTAGAGTGATTATGACAGCAGGCGTTGACACAGCGCTGCGGGGAGCTGGTGGCCGTGGCGCTCCCTCCCGCCGGAGAGGGCAGGCAGCCCAGCCGGGCAGTAAGATCCCGTTTTTCCAGTGGCAGAAGGGGAATAGTAACAGCGTGGTGGAACTCCTGTAAGCACAGGCAGTAAGTATTACTGCCCAGCAGCAGCATCGTGCCCTTGCGTTCTGGCTGGCAGCTGGTTCCAGGCAACGGCCCCTTCTGCCTGCCCGCAGCAGGTAGCCGCCTGCCGCCACGGGCGGCGCAGGCCCCTGAGCCGAAGGCAAGGCTTTCATTTCTTACGAGCACCTGTGGAAAGGCCTTTCCTCCCTGGCCCCTCCCTTGCTTATAGGGCAGGCAGTCTGAAATGCAACCTCAGTAGCTTCCCAGCTTTATGTCCTTTGATGACAGCATGTCTTTCTGAGATTCAGTTTTGCATTACCACATTCAGTGTATCAGAAATTGCCCTGAAGTTTACCAGTGACATTCCTGTGTGCTAAATAATGTTTTTTCAAAACAAATGCAAGAGCCTGCTTAAAGATGCTATTGCTTCCTGTCCTGGATCAGCACTTCTTACAAAACGTGAAAGTCTATGCTAGTTAATAACTTAAAAGCTTAATTTACTTTCTTCCATCATCTAAAGAGTGCAGCTGATTTTGCTTTCACTGCAAGTTCGTTGTAATTAAAATAAACCCCCATTATTACACATATCCTTCTATTCAGCACTGATTTGGTATCTATCTCTGATTAAAAAAAAGAGAGAACATTGACAAGTTACATTTCAGTGAACTAGGAGACTGATTACAAAGCAAGCCATACAAGCATAACCCGTGGCACACCGTAACTTAACAAAGGCAGCCACGGGGCGACCATCGTCATGGCGTTAACTCAGAAGGAACAGCAGATGTTTAGGAAGGCCTCTTCAAGTTAAAGACTAAGACTCAGCAATGAAGTTGAAGACACTCAAGCCAACAATCACTTGCCTAAACAATCCAGCCCCTTCCCCATAAGGTAGGAAATTTAAGACACAAAATTTTATTTCATATTAGATTTAAGAAATGCTCTAAGATGGTAAGTTTTCCCCCTGCTTTTGCTGGTAACATCAACCAGTTCAGTTCTCTTAGAAAGCTGAAGAAGAGATGAATCTGAGAAATTTTTGTTTGAGGCTAGGATTGTGAACGTTGCATTGACTTGCTCATAATTCCATTTAAGGAACCAAATATTGAGTTTGTATTATCCAGAACCCTCAATCAACATGTGGTTTGTTTTAATTTTCAGATAAAGTGGCACTACTGCATCGATTTAACATACACTTTAATAAATTTCATGTTTAATGTGGTAAACCTTCCAAAAACTTGCTAATTTATTGCTTTCTGTACAATTTAAGTGGATGTAAATAACTAATCTTGGACACAGTATACTCACACATTTTTTAATAAAGTGCTCAAGAACAGGTTAAGCACTGTAATAAAATTTCCCTTTTTTTAAGCTAGCACTGAGTAGCCTCTTCTTTCCTCTGCAAAAACCAGACCTAATTACACATAAACACAAAGCAATGGTGTAAAAATGGACATTTATTACAATTAAACCAATGTGACAGACAGACGTCAAACAGTTTATTTGTCACAATCACAACAAAGCTTAATCCAGCCAAGCACATACAAGTGACAGCGTAAACTTTAAAAACATGTTGAATACATAGAAAATTGCTTCGGGTTTGACTTAAGGTAATTTTACCACTTCAATCTTACGCACAAGGTCATTCTGCTACCACTTTAACCTTATCTATCCCAGCGCGTTGCGCACTGGGGAAACGCACGCCATTGCTTTTGCATGCCCTAGGTTACGAACAGTCTCTAGCAAAGGGATATGTTTAAATCCCAGGAAGGGCGTAAGTAGAGAAATTCTGACACTGGGAGGTCACAGGCTCCACCCTGGCACGGCCACAGACACGTGCAAACGCTCCCCTGCCCTGCCTGGCCCTTCCACTGCCACAAGCGCTTACACTGGGATCCGGACGGGGGGACCGGCAAGCGGCAGTGCTGAGCCTTGCCTGGTGGGTTAAATTCAACCTAGATCGCACCGAGCCCGCAGCCTAGCTCTCCAGCTGGCTGAGTAAACGCTTACGCTAGCAGTGCGTGACTGCTGCCAGCAACAACGCCGAAGCTAAGTTTTGTGAAAACGTGGCACTACTTACTCAAGCGAACAAGCCAAAACATTGACTCCTGGAGTGAAGTTACTGGGGAAGGATGAGGGGGGAGCAGCCCCGCCTGCTCAGGGACCACGCAGGCACCCAGCGCAACTCAGCGACTCCAAAGCGTGGCACTGCCTCCTCAAAAACTCAAAAGCATATGCGAATCCAGTTTCCTCGAGTGAAACAGGTTTGGTTTGTCATTACTGAAAGTTTGCTGGAAGCGTCAAAATATTACTTGCTATCACTTTGCATGATTTGCAGTGAATCTACTATACAAATTAATATTTAAAAGCTTTCACTGCAAATGAGTTGGTTCAACTGTACATTGCACAGGAGTGTCATAAGGGATGTGTCACATGTTAAAAGTGTAAGTCAAGGAAAGCAGTTAAAACGACATTGACACTCTGTGGTTGTTTTTTGGTTTTTTTTGTTTTGTTTTGTTTTTTAAGGTACCTATACACCCATTAAAGCATAACTATAAAACACCAATAAATACAAGTTAATTTGTAGAGTTTGAAAGAAAATAATAAAAAGTCCCTTTTGTAAAGCTCCTCCTTTCCCATCTTCAAAAGTATGCAATTTCCATTACACACCTCTCTCTACAGTCAGAAAGCCTCTCTCTTTTCTTGTGTTTATGTTCAGAGCAAGCTAACATCAGATCTAAAAATAGTTTCCTTATTTGGAATTTTAACTACATGCATTCCCTTTTTAGTATAGTAACTTGCAGAGTTTTGCTCAAGGTAGCTACACTTAAATACCCCTTCATTTCTAGTGAGTTGATCAGTTTGCAGTTTTCTTGCAAAAAGCAGTATCACCTTAACAGTTTTTACCAGTTTGATATGCAGATCCTAACAGGATTCTTTGGTATAATGACAAATTCAGAAGTAAACAGATAATTCCAGTCTTTATGCACCAACTGAAATAAGCAGAATTATCACAAGTGGTGACTAAAATGTAGATGAACAAGAGTCTTTGGTTGCATAAACACAATTTCTACACCATAACATTTTATATTTGGAGTTGTCCATGTAGTTTCTTTTTGTTTAGATATGCTATGTCATAAAGAAGTCAAGTTTGCTTATAAAAAAACAGTACACTTATTGAAGTCAAATGCAATTTTCCTATAAATGCAGTGAAGGGAGACACTGAGTCGATTTAAATCTAATTCCCTTTCATTTGCGATTTTTGGACTTTAGTTTCTTGTTCCCTTTTCAAAGGAGTATTTTTCTTGTAGGCCTGAATGAAGCAGCTTAGCAAAACAGTAATACTGACAAACAGCATCTTACACCATTAGCTAAACATTACAATGAAGGCAGTGAACATTTACAGTATGAAACACTGAGATGTCATCAGCTGAAGTGAAGATTTATGTCAATCCAATTTCTTCAAGTACACTACGTGGGGTCTCTGCTTCCTATGGAGGGAAAATTTAAGACAGTGGTAAATGGACCCTGTGCTTCTACTGAAGAGTACCACACATGAGTTAGTATGAAAGATGCTTAATTAAAAAAGAAAAGCTGAAAGACATGAAAATATAAAAGTACTGCAGCTTGCAAACATGGTATTAGCCGCACTTTTCAAAGAGCTGTTAATTAGATTGTCAGGGTTCACGGGAATAGCTGATAGATTTTATTGCCCTTAAGCGTAATAAAAATAAAGCAATTCAGATATACCAGCAGGGAACATAAGGGGCAGAGGATGGGGAAGCATCTTGCAAAGCAGTCAGTGATTTTTGTGGTGAATTGCTTCATGGGTCTCAAAAATCTGTTAGGGAAGAATGAATGAATGGATGAATGAGATGACTGATGCAACTAAGATACAGTATCCCTTAAGCTCTTTATGAAGAGTCTAGATTTTTCACACCAGTCTCATGCTTAGTTCATAAAACCAGGTCACGGTACCTGGGTACACCTGCTGTCAATAAATTGACCCCTGCAGAAGTGGAAGAATTGCCAGGACTGGAATTGTATTATTCCACACCCGGCATAAAGTTTTAGGTTAATTCTAATCTTAAAAAGCTTTGTTTAGATTCAGAGCAAGTTGTTTAATACAAAATTCCAAAGGGTCATCATCAGTTTTGAGTTCATTATTCCTATAGCATCTGAAAAGAAATAATAGTTTATTAGAAACATTAGACTGTCCTTTTCCATAATTATTAACAATATCATAGTAAATAAAAAGGGATACTGTGTCCTTATGGAAACAAACTGTTTTAGTATCCAGAGTATGGATAAACTTACTTTAGCATCCTAAAACAAGACATATGAAGCAGAAAAAAAAGCAGATAATAGTTAAGGCAGCAAACACATTATTTTTCAACTGCTTTCTAAATATTTATTAGAAAATTTGTCAGTAAAATGCATAATTAAATGCCTTAAATCTTGCAAATAACACCAGAACATTGTCTCTATCAACCCTGACTATGTAGCACAAAACAATCGAGTTTACAATCCTCATTCAGTTCATGTATGAGGTGATCTAGTATTGAAGAAACAAGCTATGTTATTTTAAAGGCAACTTCATTTGGAAGCAAGTCAGTGCTTGGAACAGGCCACCTCTCAGCACTTCGACATGGCTTCCAAAATCCAGCAGCAAATAAGAAATTGCAAGAAAAAGGCAAGTTAAAACTAGAAACAAGATACTCTCTGTATTAAAGATATAGTGTATTGTTTTTTTTTTTTTTTCTCACTGATGCAATATTTAAATATTTGTGGAACTGCAGTGACCTTGATAAAGCCAGGCAGGATGGCAGGATTAAAGATTTACATGTGCATTTTAACACAAATCCCCCCAAAGGAGACACTGATTGAAGAAAAGGGTATGTAGCATTTTTAATATAACCTGTTGTATTATATTCCCAGATTACTTTGTTGCATTCATTTTAGAGGACATGCATCTCCCCTATCCAGCAACTTAAAACAATCTACTCAAAAAAATTGTACATTCTTAACTATAGCAACAGAACTCAAACAGTATTCTAACACACTATACCTTCCCAAGCATTTCAGGGTCTTGAAAATATTTAATAAAACTAAGTTTTAAATTGATTAGACAGCAGCGGACACTTACAGTTACTCAGTGGTGAAACAGGATATTTACTGAATTACCTGAAAAAAAGTTGCTCAATAGCTATGAGGAAATACAGTGCACTGCTGCTACGATCTCTAGAGCAATTTAGTACTATTGTCTCTACTGCCAATTCAAAGTCGTAGGTAATTTTCACCATGCATATACTTAAAGATTAAATTTCTTCCAGTAAATCAAGGTCATTGGCTAACAATGAATTTAAAGCAATGTATTTCAAGGACATTGGCTACTTGTCCACAGATACCTCACCAGTAAAACTCAGTAAGATTTTAGGTTTTTTAATACTACAGCAGTAACCTTGAGGCAGACATGCCTTCTTATGTGTGCATCAACAATAGAAACTCAAAACGAATACCTAAAAGCTAATGTGTTTTGCTAGAGGAATAATTTCATCAATTATAACTTTTAAGAAACAAACAGAATGAATATTATGTTTTGTTCACATTATTTGTTTTAGGAAGTGTCTAACATTTTATCCAATTGTTATGGAAAACATTCTGCAGTATTATACACTACCTGCAGCTTAGAGTCACCCAAGGCAAACAATGCAAATTTGAAATACATCAGAACACAGATGAGGGAAAAAAGTCATTCACATGAGACAAAAGTGCATGCAATACTTTATTTCAAACATGCCAGGAAGCTAATTCATTACCTAGTCATTTAGAAGCAAGCAGCTGTATACAGATAACAAGAAAAACAGCATCTCATTACAGCTCAATGCACAGCATTTTAAGCCAACAGGCATGAAATAATGCAGGCTAAAGCAGCATTAACCAGACATTCAAACACATTGTTAATGTCTTAAAGAGGCAAACTTGGAAATGGAAAACCACTCCTATGATCTTGTTTTCTAAGATTTCAGAATGCTGCAAGTCCAATCCAAATCTTGTCTAGTCCCCTAAATCTCCCATTTTTATGTCAGTTTAACATTTGAAAGGTAGTGCATTACCACATATAGTACGTGGAACTAGCTGTTTGTGGTTAATCCCAGTAACCACCTCCTTGCTAATTACATTTAAATAATTTTCAAAAACAGCATTGGTTTTAGATTACAAATTATTCTCTTCTTCTAGGCAAACAGAGGATGCAACACATGCCCTCTCACTCTGCCCACACTTTTTAATTGAAAGGTACTTATCATATTCATCCTCGTGGCAGTTCTCTGATATACAAGGTAGTCTGCACTTAAAACTGGAAATGCCAACTGAAGGAGATATATTTCAAGTATTCTGTTAATGGACTTAAAAGTCTTTCCAACCCTAACCATTTGTAAAGCAAAGAACTTGTTCTCTCCTTCAGTAGTAGCAATTGTTCAACTACTCACAAGAGTGTTTTGAACATTTAAATACAAGCATTGCAACTTCACATTTACATACCCTAATCAATTCTTCCTTCCTCCTCTTTATCAGGTAAGCCACACTATCGTGCCAGTCTCAGAAAAGGATACTGGTATGTGCATCTTAAAGATGCAAGGTCTGTGTAGAATTGTGTGTAACATCATTTAACACTTGTGTGTATACACATTTCACATACTACTACCCCTTCTCTACTTTCTCTGTAAATATTAAACTTCATCTACAGGTTTTAAATGTGTGTTTAAATACCACTACAACTTATTTGAAAGATAAACACAGGTCAAGTAATGTTACAGCATAGGTGTTGCAGTATATAGGTGTTTAGCTCAGAAAATTCTACAGAACTTTTCAGCATAAGACTTCAAGCTTACACACAATAAAAAAGTTAAACCATATGCCAACAAGCACAAGTTTTGTTGAAATGAGACATGTGAAGAGACAACACTGTAAAACAGAGGGAGACGAGGAAAGTACAACAGCAGAGAATGGTTGTGGTATTCTATTAGATTCAAGATGACTGGATTCACCAAGCTGATGATAATGTTCTGTCATGAGTAAGTCACAGGTCTATCTCCTCTGAAATTCTGCATGCATGATGAATGAAGCCATTTAGTACACTGGGACATTAAAGTATTCATGACGTGGCTACAAAAGAAATGTACATATTCTTATACATAATAAAAGGTGGACAGATATGCAAGAAAACAAAAAGATTACCTCACTATTCTATCTCTGACATGAAAAGGACATTTGATACAGAAATACTGTATTTGATAAAGAAATATTGTATTTTAGACTACTCTAGACCTCTGGGGGTGCAAGGAGTGGGGTGTGGGGAGAACTATCATTTTACCCCCCCCATACTTGCATGCTGGGTCCAACAACACACAGGACAACTTCACATCATAATTACTGTATTATAAGCGCTCAGCATTTCTTCTCAGCTAAAAATTGTTTGAAGCTGAGATACTGTTCCAGAGGTGGATCACCCTATATATTTGCTCCGTTCTAGCCTCTCTGATAGACATCAACTATGGGCTATTGTCAGAGACAGGGTACTGGGCTAAGTGAACTTTTGACATCACCTACCATATCTGCTCAGATAAACACACATCAGCAACAGGCCTCTAGAGCACAGTGGTGAGCAGCACTGTGCCAGGGTAGCGCAGCAGTGGCGTTATTTGCAACAAAAATTATCTATCAAAGAGTGCCTGTTTAAAAAAATGGTAGGTATCTGAGACACCTCTCACAGCAGGCAAAGTTTCCTTTGCTTTTCAATTATGCCGCTGAACTTAATACTCTCTTATATTATTAGCATGAACATTAGTATACAATTTGTTGAAAGATGAGTTAGAAAGCAAGCAATACTCTTTTTGTACTAAAATCAGTGCCCTAAAGACAGATGAGGACATTTTTAATGGAGTAACAGCAATTTAGGAGTTATCAGCCCCACATATGCCCATTACACATCGGGGGGGGGGCGGGGGCAGGCACAAAACTCTGCATATCAGTTACCATCTTTCATGATGTACCAACTAAAATCTCCAATCTATTTTAGTATCTCACCCCCCAAAATTATAAAGTCTTACAAGAGAACTGAGAAAGTTCCCATGACTTCTAAATCTAAGTTTCCTCTGTGCCATCTCAGTTTATTCACACATTCAAGCTTGTATATTTTTAAATTCTAATTTCCAATTACAAAAAAGCACAACAAAAATATCCTAGAAGCTTTACAGAATTTATACTGCTTTTCAGTATCAGTAATCTGAACATTATTCCATAGTAGTTAAAATTATTCTGAACAAGCCAACTATGAATCCAGTAGTTCTCAAAATAATAGCAGCTATAGCTCAGTGACAGTTGCAAATAAGTTGTATGAAGTCTGTGGTGATCTTTGGTAGAACTCAAAAGAATTTGGTATATAAGAGAATTACAAATGTGAATTTTAACTCTTAAAACCTCTCTTAGT